CCGAGTGGCATGAGGAAACTGGATATCAGCTGCAGAACTCGGGGAAGCTCGCAGGGAAATGTGTAGCCGTCAGCGGGTGAAGATCGAAGGCCGTGTTCGAGTGGAACTACAGGGAGCACATGGTGTTTGTAGGCAGTGGGCGTCTCGGCTACAGGAAACAGAACTCGGAATAAGCCGTGCTCGAGCTCGTTCTTAGTGTATGAAGCTTCAGCTGAACTGCATTACACAGGCGGCTGTTTTTCACGCCACTCTTCTCTAAAGACGTGCTGTAAATGTTCCGACAGGGCCAACGTCATTTTCGCTGCGGCCCTACGAAACAATTACTTGAACAACAGCTGATATTCATCCCAGATGAACACTGCAGCTACAGTGTTATGATTGAATCCACACACAGTTTGGGAAATAGTATTGAAAATGGCATAAATCATAATCTCCGTGATCTTTTGGAATAAAATAGTTTGATGTAATATGAAAACATACTGCAGATTTTTCTGATGAATCCCAGCAGCTCAAGCCCTGGTTACCTGAGTCTGATCTGAACAGTTTGAGCAGCACGTTTCAGCACACATTGATGCTGCTTCACACCAAGAACTATAACTGTAACTATTAGATAATTATATTAATATTTTGTGTGTGTGTGTGTCTGTGTCTGTGTCTGTGTCTGTGTGTGAGTGTGAGTGTGAACGGGAATTATCTTCTGTGAGTATGCTGTAGTGATCTCTCTCAAATATACTATGGCCATTCGCATGCAATAAGCTTAGAGACCAGTTTTCTTTTTTAAAAGTTTTTATTTTATTTATTAATTTTTTTAAGTGGTGATTTGTCGTGATAGCCTGTTTGCCCGAGCACAGCTCACAGGTCATCTAGTTCATTCCTACAGATCGTCAGCACTGATCTGGTGTGTGTGATCTGGGTGTGACTGCTCTCGTCTGGACACACACTCACTTGTTGCTGTGCTTCAGACGCAAGTGTGTGTTTGGGGTTTATTCTCTTCACAGTGATTTGGATTGGTTTTCCAGTTTAATAAACATATGGATTTCAGAACAGGAACTTATTACATGCAGAAGTATAAATTGGTAACCTGCAATTGTTAACTATTTCAACCCATAAAAATGTATATTGTTGGTGTAAATTGATATATGTAGGTGGATATGGAGATGTTAACCTTTTTTTTCAGCGTGTTTCAAGTGTTTTCAAGTGAGGTGTGTTTTTTGCTATTCTGTGTCAAATAGAAGAGCATTGAAAACATTCAGTCACGTCTCTTAAAATGCTTGGCTGTCAATTACTCGAGCTCAGCGAAGGCTGCTTTCTCATTCTTGTCAGATAATTGGTAGTTTCGCTCTGAATAGTCATTTTGAGATGCTTCAGACCGTCCCTTTAACATGTTTTTGGAGCGCTTGTGTAATTACATGTTAAATGCAGCAGAGCTGTGTGTGGATCTGACGCTCGCTTGTGTTTCGCATGGGTTATTTTTACGTGTTCGCAAGCCATTCCCAATCTGACGTACATTTTTCTGTAAGTGTGTGGTATCTAGTGACCAGTGTTGGGGTAGCACATTACAAGTAACGCGAGTTACGTAATCAGATTACTTTTTTCAAGTAACTAGTAAAGTAACGCATTACATTTTAATTTACAAGAACATATCTGAGCTACTTTTTCAAATAAGTAACGTTTATTGATTGGAGATTGAAAATTATTGTTTATTTATTGATTCCCATTTATTGATTGAAAGCTCTACTGTCCCCATGTTGAGAGAAATCGGGAGTAAGATGCTACTTTAGTTCTAGAATAAATGTGAACATGCATTAATTCATCTCACTCACTCACTCACAAAAAAAAAAATCTGATTTAGTTTTCCTCAAAATTAATAAAAACAGTTAAACGCAACTCAGAATATGACTCAAAGCTGCAATTATTAAATATGTTAAATAATACAAATATCCTTTATGTATTTAATCCCCTTTTATTAACCAATTTGCTGCTGACCTTCAGTGATCATACTAATAAGCAACAATTACACAAGATAAACTAACATTTCTTCTTCCTTTTTTATTGCTGAAGAGTGTTGAACTTTCTTCTTCAGTGTTCTACTGTACAGACGTGAATCTACTTTTCCTTCAGCATTAGGCTTTTGGTGCGAAAGGCTTTTATATTTGCCAAAAATAGAACTTTTTATATTAAAAGCAAACAAGCAAGCCCAGCCCAGATTTAAAAAGTAACGCAAAAGTATCGTAACGCATTACTTTCAATAAAAAGTAACTAAGTAACGTAATTAGTTACTTTTTAGGAAGTAACGCAATATTGTAATGCATTACTTTTAAAAGTAACTTTCCCCAGCACTGCTAGTGATGACTGTGAATGAAAGTTGAGCGAGCTCTCTGACGGACAGGCCAGGTGCGGGTCCTTCCAGCCATTGTCTCCGGCTTTTATATTAATTACATCTTGCATTATCAGCGTTGAGTCCGTGACCCTGTGCGCCCGGTGAAAGGCGGCCCCCGGAGACACGGCGACCCTCTATCTTATTCTGTATCTGCTCTATTGTGTGTATCGCTGTGTTTGCGGCCTGGTAACGGCGCTCTTTAACACAATTAGAGCAGAGCACGCAGTGGCTGCGTTTGACTCCTAATTATCCGCAGCGATGGGGAATAGTCACATGCTCGCTGCTTTCTTTCCTGGGTGGGGTGGAGGCTCTCTCAGCCGTTTGGGTCACACGATGTCTCTCACTCGCTTTCTTTACAGCTTGTTTGAACTTTAATGGACTCTTGGGAGCCCTGACAACTGTTTTGTTGTGATGTGAGGCCTGAGAGAGAGAGAGGGGCGGCTGCATTATTCATAAGTGGGGAAAGGGCTGTTGCTTTTTTGCTGCCGAGTGGCGTGAGGAAACTGGATATCAGCTGCAGAACTCTGGGAAGCTCGCAGGGAAACATGTAGCCGTCAGCACTTACGGACCTGCGGCTATGTTCGAGTGGAGCTACAGGAGCGCGTGTGTGTTTTTAGGCCTGTCTTGCGGCGGTGGGCGTCTCGGCTACGGGAAACAGAACCCAGTCATTTTCATGGCTTGGAACAACACAAGCTCGAGACGGCTGTTTTTCCTTCCACTCTTCTCTAAAGACGTGCTGTGAATGTTCTGACGGAGCCTACGTCATTTTCGCTGCGGTCATACGAAACAATTACATGAACAACAGATAAATATGGCCCAATCCACACACAGTTTGGGAAATGTTATTAAACATGGCATAAATCATATACCCTCTGTGATCTTTTGGAATAAAATAGTTTGATGTAATATGAAAACATACTTCTGATGAATTCCAGCAGCTCAAGTGTATTTCCAAGAGTCTGATCTGAACAGTTTGAGCAGCACAGATTGTTTGTGATGCTGCTTCACACCAAGAACAATAACTACAACTATTACGACGATTATGTTAGTGTCCACACTAACGAACAATATATTTCTGTTTTAACGATCACTGTAGTTTTGTCGTCTGCCGCTTTAAATGCTCAGTTTATTTAAATTCAGATGGATTCTGATTGGCTGCTGGGGGAAAAAAAGCATTCTGATTGTGTTTCCAACGATAATCGTTAACGTTATAGTTGTGGTGTGGACTTTCCTGTTCTCATAGAATTGGAAGGATAATTAATGCTTTATAGTTATCATTATAGTTAACATCCTTGGTGTGAACAGGCCTTTATTGAAGGATATTGTAGGTAGAACTAGATTGAGAGTAACCATTATCACTTATTTCATATGCTAAGACTGGACTAGCATAATACTAAATCATTTATAATAATATTATTTATTATAATTATAGTTTATATTAAATAAAATAGCTGTTGTGTCTGTGGTAGAGCTTTTTGAGTGTTAGTGGATTGACTCGGTTGTAGTGTAGTGAACTAACAGCATTAACAGCAGACATACACCACTGAGACTCATAAGAACACTTAAGTCTCTGTGTGTGAGTGTGTCTGTGTGTGTGTGTGTTTGTGTGTGTGTGTGAGTGTGTGTGAGTGTGTGTGTGTGTGTGTGTGTGTGTGTGTGTGTGTGTTGCTGCACATACTCGATTGCTCTCAGATTAAGACTTGAGCTTTGTCTCTAATGAGCTTACAGCCTATGCTCTATGCCTATAGGTGATGTTAAATAATAATTTTGACTAATTTTTAGGGTACAGTTTTTCACAGTGTATGCAGGTGACTCACTGAGTGTGTGAGGTGGGATTGTAAGGTATTTTTCTCACTAGAGTGGTAAAGGAAATTCCTCCTCTTGCTCGTCTATGTGTAACACAGATAAAGCTCTTCCTGTACAGTACAAATCCTGTTTCCCCCGCGGCCCGATCGGACCCTGAGAAACCTCAGGAAGGGTGAGGAGGAGATGCCCTCTTACACACGACAAATGGCCCACCGCTGTGTGTGTGTGTGTGTCAGATTAGATACTGTGTTTGCTGTTTGTGACAGTGGAAATTATGAATTGCTGCTCAAAACACAGACATTTAATTTGAGTGTTAGAATTCAGCAAAGTTTGCGTCATTCCAAATTTGTGTGACTTTCTTTCTTCTGAGGAACACAACAGAACATGTTATGCAGAATGTCCAAGTTGCTCTTTTCCATATAATGAAAGTCAATGAGAGAGGATCATAGCAGTCATCCAAAATATTGTCCTATCCTATCAAACCATACATTAATGGAAAGCTTATTTATTCAGCTATATTTATTATGCATCTCAATTTAAAAAAATTGACCCTTATGACTGGTTTTGTGGTCCAGGTTCACATATTACCGTACAGTTCGTCTAAATGTGACGACAAGGCATGAATATATTATAAACATTAACGGATGATCTGTAAAGCTGCATTGATGTAATGAGTATCATGAAATGTGCGATACAAATAACATTTACTTGGTGTTTAGATGTGCATCTAAATCTTTAGGATGGTGAAGGGTTTGTTGGTCTGTGTTTACTGTCCAGCTCATTCACGAGTCCTCTCTTTCTCTTTGTGCTGTGGATGGGGAAAACGGACGGATGGTTCCGCACTGGCCGTCTCAAGAACCCAGCGTCCTGGAGAGATCACGATGATGCCACGTCCACACACTCGGCCGGCACGCCGGGACCCTCCAGCGGAGGACACGCGTCACAGAGCGGAGACAACAGCAGCGAACAAGGTGAGTCCTGTGCTGTACCTGTGCTTTCATCATGCTACTGAACCATATCAGGTGTGATGTAAACACTGTTTACTGCACATGCAGCCCTGACAGTGTGAACGTGTGTGTGTGTGTGTGTGTGTAACCTCAATTAAGATTGTAAAACCTCACGTCAGCTACACTGTATAATACCATCCCACAGTCCCCATGAGGAAAACAGAATAGTAAAGTTTTAATTAAAATGTAAAACTGCAAAATATTTTCTGTGAGGGGTAGAGTTGAGGCCCATTCATGCCAAGAACAATAACTATAATGATAGCTATATTTGCATACACATCAATGTACAAAAGCTTTCTGTTTATTCTAAACTTTCTGCAGCTTTATATCCTGTCAATGTTTTTTTTATCATTCATTAGCTTGTTTTGAAAGTGTTTCCAATGAAATCATCCCCCTGTGTCTTTATCGTTACCATTGTGGTGTGGTGTGGATTCACTATTCTCTTTAATTAAGTCAAGTCACCATTATTTATATAGCGCTTTTTACAATGCAGATTGTGTCAAAGCAGTTTTACAGTATAAAACAGGGAAATAGTGTGTCGAGATAGTGTGCCGTTCTCCTCTGGCCAGACGAGACCAGCAGTTTAATTCTAAGCTGCAACAAAGTCAGCTTGAGCAGAGGACTCATCTGGTTCCCGTGAGTTCTTAGAGTTAGAGTGATTGTTAAAACTTTATAGTTATCACTGTAGCTATCATTCTTGGTGCGAACAGGCCCTTCAGGGTTAGGCGCTAAAAAATATCATTAGATCAGTATAAAAATTGTATAGCCTACTAATGATATAGCAATATACTGTATAATATATAATAGAAATATAATATAGTGTATGATCCATTGTGCATCTGTGTGTGATGAAGCAGAGGAGAGTGTTATTGATCACGCTGAAGTCATAAGTACCAGTGAGCTGTTCTCCTCGCTGCAGTTATCGACTCTCTCACACTGGATCCAGTAACGGCTGGTCGATATGGAGTAACACACTTACGGTACGGCACGCAGAACTGCCTCGATGTGATCCGGTCAAGCCCCGGCCCAAACGAAACCAAACAGAGAGTGAGACCGGATACAGAGAGAGACGAGAGACAGGACAGAGAGAGACTGGATGGAGAAAGACAGGACAGAGAGAGAGAGAGAGACGACAAAGAGAGAAAGGACACAGAGAGAGACAGTAGATAGAACAGAGAGACAGGACAGAGAGAGATTTACTGAACTTTGAGCAAAAGTTGTGCTAGCCACTCACAATGTTAGGTGTTAAACAGGTTAACTCTAAACTGACTCACTTTATGTTTTGATTTATTTTATTTATTATTTATTTGATAAATTATTGATTAATTTTTTGTTATCTATGTTGTTTTTTTATTGTTACTTTTTTATTATATAAATGAATACATACATACATAAATAAATAAATATATTTAAATATATATATATATATATATCCTGAGGAGGCAGAGACGTGGTGCAGTAATGCAGCCGTCCTGCAGCGTGCCGTGACCTTTCACCCCGGCCAGCAGAACAGACGCCTCATTTCTCACATTCTTTCAATTATGTTCACGCTTGAAGCGCTCGCTCACTCTCAGCACCCAGTCCACACGTACACATGAGACAGGACAAGCGTGAGTTCCTAAAAGAAAGATTTTGGGACAGTCCTGAAAAGTGTGAGAGAGACAGACAGGAATCAAGCTCTCTTGTGCTGGTTTGAATATACGCTTACACAGCATCGTTCTAATATACATTCGAGTGTGTGATTGTCTGTACTTCTGAGGGTCAAATGCTTTTAAATGTCCTCACAGATCTAGTGCATTGAGGACATTTGACGAGCTGCTCACTGTTTGAAGACTCCTAGATTAGTCCAGTTTCCTTCTGTTTTCTAAATTCACAATAACATTTAAAACATTAATTGTGAAATATTTTATTGTGATTCATCAGTCTGATCAGTGTATTAGTCTGTTCATAATAACATAAATTGTAATAAACATTAACTCGAATAAAATAACATTTATATTTACATAAAAAATATTTTTATTTCAGCTAATTCCCGAGGCAACATTTCTCCGTTTTTTTTTTTTTTTTGGTTGAAGTGGAAGTACTAAAATGATTAAAATAAAAACTAAAACTTAATAACATTTTTAAAAAGCAAAAACTAATAAAAATTGTTAAATGTGGTCATATTGCCCAGCCCTAAAACTTGCTCTTTGCGCTCAGGCATTATACACACAACATCATGATTTTCTGTAAAGCTGCTTTGAAGCCATGTGTATTGTGAAAAGCGCTATACAAATACGATTTGACTTAATATCAGTCATTACAGAAGGATCCATCCGTCTCTGTCTGTGTGCAATCACTGCTAACTGACGACAGCAGCGTGCCTGTCCAGTGTTAATGAGTTAATGAAGCCATCAGACCAGCGTATATCTTCACACACATGAGTGTGTTCAGTGTCATCCGGTCAAACACACTCTTTCTGTTCAACATCAGTTCACTGTGCTGGAAGCGGCTGAGAGATTTCATTTCACTGGCTGCGATGAGCGGGAATCTTCTGACATTTTCCAGAGCAGTTTTTTAGGAAAGTGAAATATTAGTTGTGCCCCTCAGGCACTGAGAACTTCCACACACACACACACACACGTGAGATTTGGGGTATTGTGTGTCGAGTTTTTGTGGCAGTTCTGACCTCAGACTTTTTTTTCTCTTCAGACAGTTCTTTTCTATAATGTTAAAATTGATACCATAGACAGAAAGACAAAAAAAGGTTCAGACACACTGACAGAATTTCACTAGGACCCTCGTCGTGTATTTCTTGCACATATGTGTGTGTAAAAAAGTGTTGTTTTTTTTGGAGTTTGCTGGATCTCTAGATCAGCTCTTGCTAAACTCAATACCGACCCACTGTCTTGCTTCACAGACAGACTGATGGAAAGCAGGGATATCTCATGGCTTGATTTGAGGCAGATCTGTGTAACTATTGATTCTTTGCAGAAAAATTGATCTTTAATAGTTTCTGTGCTTTAAAAGCTTTAAAGTTATCCATGTCATGTTAGAAAATGTCAACAACAATCACATCTTTCCTATTTAGCATGCTTGTTTGTGAGAAGCGTTGCAGACAAATATCAAGCACAGTAAACCTCACAGAAAGAAGAGAAATTAGATTAATGAAAGCAAGGGAATACCTTACATGCCTGCTCAATTCTAGTGGCTTTATCAGCACTGCGCTGGCCCTTTAAATGACGCCGCTGCTGCGCTTAGTGTTTTTTGGGCTCCTGTTTTAGCACGCTGTGCCCGAGGGGGTCAGCCAAGAAGTCACCCTTAAGAGGTGATAATCCCATCACGCTAGTCTCCAGCGCTGTTTTCCCCGGATGGCATGAGCGGTTCTGTTCTCATGAGAGTCTGACCCGTGTTTCTGTGCCGGCGAGGGGTTACTGAGGCCAGCGCTGTCTAAAGCAGTGCTTCTCAACCGGTGGGTTGTGACCCAAAAATTCATGTCTGTTCTGATGGGTCTCAGACAGAAGGAATAACACAATTATAGACAAACATAGTATACTGTAAATAATCATGCATTCTGTAGTTAGAACAGCAAAACAAATAGAGGGAGGAGAAAATACTTCTAGGTTACACTTTATTTTAGTTTCTTTGTTACAATGTAATTATGCATTTAATACTGAGTAATATTAATTAACTACATGTACTTACTATATGGTTAGGGTTAGGATTAGGGTTTGGCTTAAGGTTACTTACATGTAATTATGCATAATTAATAGTAATTATAACTGTTGATCAGCCTCTACAGACACAAATTCATCTGTCATTTAGTAGTAAACATCAGACAGATGAACATGGACCGATTGTGTGACACGCTTATCTTGAAAAACCATCAAGAAAACTACACAAGGTCTAACAAAATTCAACCCAGACAATAACTACAGATTAAAACTAAAAGTCAATGTTAAGTTAATACTTACTATGGTTATGACATGTTAATTCATATTATTGGCTTCATACATTTGGCATAAATTCCAATGCTCGATCGTAAGGATCGTTTTGTTTACATCTGTATGTTGGCTCTCATTGTTGAGAAGCACTGCTGTGCACACCTCTGCTGTCAGGCCCACCTGCTCATTTTGCCTATTGAAGGTGTACTTATTTGGGCATTAACCTCTTCTCCTCCATTATATTGTGTTTGTCCAACGGGCCTTACGCCCCTCCACTCCCTAATCCCACCCGCCTCCTCCCTCCAAACACAGAGACTGCTCATGAAGGGCTTGCGCTCGGCGGTGTGGTCTCTGAAGCGCGTCACAGCGCCGATGCCCTACAGGTATCTCTTGAACGAGTGGGCGGATGAGAACGAGATGCTGCCTTCCCGAGCACCGCTAACGTATTTATGCAAATCTTTTTGGGCATTATTGCAGATAAGCTCATTTTATAGTCTGATTTCCGCTCCCTCGTGTGCCATAATGAGTCGTCAAGCATGGGGGAGCGTGTCGGGAAAGAGCGCCAGTCCGTCCGTCTGTCCATCCGCGTGCAGAGCGCACTGTCCTGACGTTCCGTTCGAGGAGACAGGGATGGAGGGGTTTGACGCCGGTTAGTGCTATTACCTCTCGTTATTGGAGGCAGCCGCCTAATAATTTCTAATTACCCTAAGGAGGTATTAGGAGTGTTAGTCAGCAAGGATAATTTCTTATTTGCACGCCTGGAGCGGTGAGCTCTCTAGAAGAACGGAGGCTAATGTGCAACAAAACAAATCAACGTGCCACGCAGGGCTGCGGGGCTTCAGGGAGGAGGCCGAGATAACACTCATTATGCATCATGATAATTCATTTAGAATGTTATCAATTTCAGAATAGAGGCCTGAACACGCACACACAAACACACATAAACCATTAAAAAAGGATGAGGAAATGAGGCTGCTGTTCAAACACTGCCTCCTGGTCTGTTCAGGTAGCTCCAATTACACACTTCCCATGTTTTTAGGCTGTTGAATGCTAAATGCTCCCTTTCCTCTGATCTTAAAATGTATTTCATAGTGAACCATGAAATAAAA